TATATATATATATATATATAAAATTCATCTTTATTTCACTTACAGAAAATACTTTTTAATATTTTTAGTTTTAGTTAACTATAGCAATGAATAATGAATTGTGACATCTCCACTTGAAAAAAACAAACAGAATATGTGTTTGTAAAAACATGAGGATAAGTAAATAGTAATGACAGCATTTCCGTTTTAGCTGAAATAATATAATTTTGAAATATTTTCTGATTGGCTGCGATTTTTTGATTTGGCCCAACATTTCAGCTTTCTTGTGGACCGAAAAAATAACTGGCTCCGTGAACTTGATTAAGAGACAGTGTAGTGTCCTCAGATTAGTTCAACTCCAATTCAGTTTCACGTTTTCCTCTTCATCTCTTCATTTTAAGTGGTTCACACTGCAGGAGACAGTTGTATTTCTCATAATGATTTATAGTTTAATCATCTTTAGTGCTGAGTATTTCTGAGTTCATTGCTGGACTGCTATAAATAGCACCTCGATCACCAAAAATAGACGTGTCTAATGTGCAGAATGCCCGTAAGTCACAGCTCGTCTGAGGGTGCAGACAGCATGTGTAGGGTCGCTGTCGGGTCAGGTAAAAGCCCTCAATCCCGAGGGGTCAGAGGTCACCGTCTAAGCACAGGCACAGTCAGTGTTTAGATGTTGTGTAATTTAAGGAGCGAGAGTTTGATCCCTCGCAGGATCTCGTGTCTGTCAGCGTTCCACTCTTGCACTTTGATGTCTGTCCTAATGAACCCCGGCAACAGGGTATGTTTTCCTTCATCTTCACGTCTCTCTTTGCTATTAGACAAAACACGTCTAAAAGCAAACTCCATCTATTGAGAGCGTGAATTAGTTTGTAAGCAGGATTTTTTGTGCTCAAGCTGTTTTTGTAAGTGCTTGTAGTCATGGTGGGCCTGCGGGATGTTGGGTTTGAATGGTTTCTGTCGCGTTCCTCTCTGGGCGGTGGGCTTTTACGGACAGCATTTTCCACCCCACACCGACTTTTCAATAATCCATTTGCATTTACAAAGCAGAGACCACTGTCTGTTTCAAATGGTGCAATGATCTGCACTAGTTCCAGATTCATAAATAGTTGATGTACTGTATGGAAATACTGTAACATCCTAGAGTGTTTTCATTACTCTGCTTTTTCTCATCTTAGAAGGATAGTTCACCAAAACATGAAATTATTGTCATTTACTCACTCTTATATTGTTCCGAATCTCTGACAATTTCTTTTGTGGAACACAGAAGGAGAAAATGGAATAATGTACTGGTTGCTAATTAATTCACTTTCTAGCTTCAAATTTTTTAGCAAACCATTGTTTTAAGTCAACATAAAGTTGCTTTTGCAACCCTTTGAATTCTCTAATGTGACAAGTGATATGATTGATAATTAACATGAAAATCTGTTAGCTTGGGTTTATTGGAAACTGATTATGGAGAATTTGTCTCTGTAAGATGTGGTGATTATATTGGGCCATAATGTGATTCTTGCTTAAAGTTAATCTTCAAAAACACAAATAATTGAATAACACTTAATTAAATATTGGATAATCTTCAGTCGTTTTCAAATTTAAATCTTAATTCAATCGTAGCATTTAAAACAATGGATTTTAGTTTTTAGTGTTTTATTTTTAATATCTTTAGTCAAATTACTTTAGAATTATAATATTAGCCAAATGGTATCTCTCACAAAATGTAAAAAAAATATTGGCTTTTGGTATCTTCTAGAATTTTAATACTAATTATTTCTTACTGAATAAAAGTATTAATAAATAAAAATATTAATTATTTATTAATTTATTTGCTTATTTACTAAATTTGTTTATTTGTTTATTTACGAATTTTGTACAGTAAATCTAGGAACGTGCATTAAAAAGTAAATATGATTTTGTGTTAACTTGAAACTGTTGATCTCGTGTATCACTTGGGATCACAGTTAGAATGAATCAGATTTTTTAAAAATTTGGTTCTGAAATTGATGTTGTCCCTTTGATATCCCAATTTCCCCTATTACACATGTGGTTTTGATCTCCAAACCAAAGCAATCTGTTTCATCGCAGCTGCCAACAGCTCAGAAATTTTGCCTTCCCAGATCCATGTAGTGAGCAAAACACTGTCAAAGCAAAACGTTACAAATGTACATTTTCTGAATGTCAAAGAGGAACATGATTTTCTTATTTCCCTCAGATCGTCAGATTGGTCTGAAAGCACAGAAGGCAGATGCAGTTCTGCTGGTTCTGGGTTTGCTGCGGCAGAATACAGAGAACGCCCGGAGAGCCGCGGCCTGTCTGTGGGTTCTCAGAGTCTTCTGCTCCTCTGGTGAGTCAGATCTCAGATCAGTTCATTTTTGCCTTCCTAAGAACTTCCTACACACTACTCTTGATTTAAAGTGATGAGATAGTCAAATAAGCTAAATAGTTTCTCTGACTCAAAAACAGTGAGTTTTCAATCAATTTTGCATGAATTAATCTCACTTGGGGTGACAGTATAAATCTTAAAAAGCTAAATAAAAACTAACTAACTTTTCTTTTCTTTTCTTTTCTTAAGCGTCTTGTGCTTCCTAACGCTGCATTTAGTGATATTGTGAAATATTATTAACATTTTAAAGAACTTTTTCTGTCTTAATATGTTGTAAAATGTAATTTATTACTGTGATGCAAAGCTGAATTTTCAGCATTATTACTCTTGAGTGTCACAACAGTTTTGCTGCTAAAAATATTTTTGTGGAAACCATGAGTTATATATATATATATATATATATATATATATATTGTA